CGCCAGTCAATTCCTCAGGAGAATGATGAGGCCATCTACACCCATAAATCCTGTGGAGATGTTTTACTCTGTCCTATCGGGTCACTAAGAGTCAGAATGGACTCGGCGTCCATAGGTTTTAGTGGGCAAGAGTCACCAGATCTTTAGAAAATGGCTTATCCTGAAAAACTGCGTCGGCAGACCAATGGAAAAGAACTAAAAACCCAGAGGTAAAACCTTCAGCATACAGACAACATCGGTTGGGAAGCAGATGCCCTCTTCAGCAAGCAGTGCTGGAAAAAATGGATATCTACCTGCAGAAAAATGAAAGACCCTTGCTCACTCCATGCACCAGAATAATCTCGAGGACTTCACGGCAGATCTCGAGGTAAAAACCCAAACTAGTAGGGCCATCAATGTGGGAACTGGGACCAACGTGAGAACTGTGACCCAGGGAATAGACAGGCTATCAGAAACAGGGAAGGACACAAATACAGATGAGTCACAAATTGACAAGTAGGATATACTGAAGATAAAACACCTGTGTTCATTGAAAGAATTCACCAAGAGAATAATGAGAGCCCATAGACTGGGAAAATATCTTTAGCAATGACACATCAGACAAAGGCCTTATTACTAAAATCTACAATACTCTGCTAGCTTCCAAAAAGAAAAAAACAAATTGCCCACTGAGGAGGTAGGCAGATACCTGAACAAAAGTTTAACAAGGGCAGAAATCCAAATGGCCAATAAACATATGAGAAAATGTTCCTGATCATTACCTATAAGAGAAATTGGGAAAAGAAACGAGAATTGCAAATCAAAACAATAATGAGATATTACCTAACACTCTCAAAGATAGCCCAATTAAAAAAAATCAGAAAGCAACAAGTGTTGGAGGGGCTGTGGGGAGACAGGAACTCTTATCTACTGCTGGTGGACTTGAAGGTATGTACAGCCACTATGGAAATCAATTTGGCGATATCTAAAACAGACGGAAATCGAGGTACCATACGACCTAGCAATCCCCCTATTGGGCATAAACAAACCATGGCCAGATATCTGTGCTCCAATGTTTATCGCGGCACAGTTCACAATTGCAAGGAGTTGGAAACCACCCAAACGTCCCGTAATGCATGAGTGGATTAAAAAACTGTGGTGCATACATACAATGAGGTACTATGCATTCTTAAAAAACAGTGATGAGGAAAAAAAAACCCAGTGATGAACGCATGAAGCACATCACCGCCTGGAAAGAACTGGAGGAAATTATGCTAAGCGAAATAAGCCACACCTAAAAGGACAAGTACATGAGTCCATTGTGGTAAGCTTAAAAAATGCAAAAGGGCATAGGGACAAAGCTACTGTATACAAACATTCCTGGGGTGAGGTCCAGGTAGTATGGCAGGGGCCAGACCAAATCCAGGGATACATATGGTAGCCAACTAAAAAGGAGAAAAAAGAAAAAAAAAGAAAAACCCACCCAAGGGGAAGGTATTATTTCTATCTCCATAGGCAAAGAGGGACCAGACTTCAACCCCTGGTGCTCCAAGATGTGAATGTAACATATCGGCATGAAGCAAAGAACTAGTAGAGGTCTGAAGGGCTGGCCCCAATCCCAACTACTGGACAGCAGCCCCTCCCACCTGCCCCAGAAGAAGTTACTTCAGAGGACAGCACTGAAGCTACAGTTCAGGGAGAGGGGCGTGTCTGATCAAAGTACACAGGAACAAATGAACGGGGAGGAAGAGAGAGTGGAGCACATCCTGGCCCAACAAGCCTTGAGGACAATATCCTTGCTCAGAGCAGGCAATGCACAGAGAGGACCATAAGGCCGGCCCCACTATGAGACATGACATCCCTCACTGACCCATAGCTCTACTGGAAACAGTGTGGGAACTGCGCCTGATCTGACCCCACCACCACGAGGCAAAACATTAAGGGCGTGCAACAGAACGGAAAGGGGAGCAGAACAAGGAAGTCCCGAGGAAATACCAAAAATAGTCTTTGGGGCCAGGGCATGGCACTTCATCAGACTCCAAGGGAAAACATCCTAAAGGTCAACAAACAGACCTTAAACTATTTACAGGCTTTTCATTTTTTGTCATTGGTTTGTTGTTGTAGTTGTTTTCTTTTCTTTGTTGCTTTGTTTTGCTGTCTTGATTTTTTGTGCATATTATTATCTCTGCAGGTCTATCTAGATAATATAGTGGGATAAACAATCTGGAGGAGAAAACAA